ACGGAGTGGAATCCGACAAGCTATGCACCGCAACTGAAGGACACACACACAACCCGCTGGCGCCACACCGGCAACGTGGGCGCGGAGGATGCTAGCGCGTGGTCCGACGCGACGGCAGGGCATACCACCGGGCCCAAGCGCCATGGCCCCGCAGCCGCGGAGTGGAGCCGTAGGGCGGGCTCCACGCACCACTGGGAATGGCCCATGCTTTACAAATGTGCGTAACCAAAAAAACGAAAAAACAAACGCGCGATGGGGCAAACCCGGGAGCGAGCGGGCCCATGCGCCACGGCCCCGTAACCACGGAGTGAACGCTCAGGGTGGGCCCGCGCACCAGGGGCGACAGCTCATGACATTCAAGCACGCGCATTTCCTTTCGAAGAGCAGGCGCGCCACGGCGACGACAGACGGGGACGCGACCGGACGGCCACGACACAGGGGGGCGAACAAGGACAAGGCGACCGATGAGGGGGGGAGGAGGGTCATGCTGCGCGGCTAAGCCTGGATGGCGTCGACGAGCGAATCCGCATCACCCCGTCCTGCACCATCGAGACGATGAGCAGTCCGGAACTGATGGTGCCAGACGGTTTCAATGACCACGTTCGCGGCAGAAGAAAACTGTGAAGATGAGCTGCTCCATCACGTAGTAGACACACCAGAAGAAACTCAACACTCTTTCGAGCGCAGGCGCTCGCTGAGACCCAGCGGCAGAATCGTAAGAGAAAATTCGCAGCACGCTCTCATGATAGTCTCTCTCTCTCTCTCTCTCTTTCTCTCTTGCAAGGATACAACCTGGGCCAAAGTGATCCATCCACTCTTAGCCGCCACTTTGGGGACAGACGTCCATCACTTCCAAAGTAAATCAGCAATGATACGACGCGTGAGGTGGAACTCTGGGCACTCGGCCCGCGCGCGTCTGAACGAAGGCCAGTCTGCCCCGAGAGCACTGCGAGTCTTATCCGGTGGGCGTCTGGTATCCGACGTGACTTCGCCCGGGAAGTAGATGAACAAACACTTGATGTCGGAGTCGGAAAGGGCCCACTCAAACTTGTCTGCGCTCGCCGTCTGTCGGACATACAAGGCTGCTCCAAGACGCGGGTGTGAGTGAATAGGCTGGCAACACCACCTGCCCTGATAACACCACTTGGAATGAGTCTTCGCAATGGCATGGTGCAAAGAACCAGGGGGTGTCCTCTGGCGCAGGCGCAAGGAGTGGCGATGCCCAGAACGTCCTGAAGTAGGCGGCCGCCCATCACTCACGCACGCCAGCTTCACCAAGTATGGGTCCCAGATTTATGATTGCATGATATACTCTGTGCCAGCATATCCCCAGGATGATCGGACAATCCGGATCCACTGGCCCGCGCCTGATACCAAGATGTTCAACCACACTTGGGAGATCGTCATCACTGTTCCACAACTGTCTCATTGAGGTATTCCCCACACGACCACAGTCAGCATCAAACGCTGCCAACGCCAGGTCGCCGCGGACGTGGTCGACGTTGGTGTCTGTCGAACATCGATCGTCCAGGTACGCCTGGCCAGCGTCTGGTTGCCATGGCACAGGCATGCGCACATACCTGCTGGCGCTATTGGGTCTCATTGAGGGTGTCCTCGATCTGGCCACATTGGCGCAGTAGCATCTCCAGCGACGCTCAAGCACCTTGGTCCTCGCCAAGCCGCCAATCCGTATATATCATTGCGCTCGGTACTTCACACGACTGTAGCGCCTCCTCCCCAATCTCATGCGTGCTATTATCATATAGATGTGCGAGACCAAGCTCAGCTCCTGCATCCGACTGCGATACTTCACGTAATTTTCGCCTGCGCAGTAGGAGCACCGATGTTGCCTGCCCGCTGGTTGTCGCAAGGCGTAGGCAGGGCCGCAGCAAGCGTATTCAACCAACAACGAAACGGCAAAGAACCCACTGACATAAGTCTCAGGTCCGCCTCGCTTTTCGGATTTCCCCCACACGCCACGGAAAAACCTTGTTCAAGAAATCCCTTGGCAAAGTTCCTCCTCTCTTAGCAGCCCGGCTTGAGGTGTCGACCCACAGGTGGTACAGGTCGAGGTGGGGTTCTGGGTAATGGTTATTCATTGCTGTCGGCCCGCGTGATCCCCAGCCATCAAAGCCTCGGGCGCCCGCACACTTGTCAATCACCTGGTCGACAGCGTCCTTCTCCGGTACCCAACCATGACCAAACTGACGTGTGGCAAAACACCACGTTGGACGCATGCTCCTTCCACGTTGTAACATGCTGCCGCGCGTTTGTCTGATGATCCCTAGGACACAGTTGCTTTTGCCAGTCCATATGCATGGCAGCCTCTGCAAGCACACCGAGAAGCGGTCGCCGCCACCGTTCCGAGCGGCCCGGGAAAAGCCTTCTGTCCAGCGCCGCATGCCTCACGTCGAACGAGCTTGAGCCAATATGGCGGATTGGGAAAGAATCCCCCCTCCCCGGAACCCAACACCCTCTCGGAAATCGACCACTCTTAGAAACGACCTCCCCCCACCTTCTGGAGAGAGCCCCGCCCTCTCCCCCTCAACCATATCCCCTCACTCCCTCACATGGACCAGGACCCCCACTAGCGATGGTGACAAAGACGGCGCCGACGACACCGACAACGACTGGGACGACGACGACAACGACGATCACGATGATGACCACGACGACGGCGACCGCAACCAAGACCACGACGACGACAGCCGCGACAAACACGACGACGACGGCGACGACGACGGCGACGACGACATCGACGACTACGGCAATAACGACAACGACGACGACGGCGGCGACAGCGGCGGCGACGACGACGACGACGACGACGACCACGACGAAGACAACAGCAACGACGACGACGACGACCGACGACGACTGCGACGACAGACGGCTGCGATGCGTGCGCGATACAGAACATGGTGGGCGGGCCGGGCGGGGCATTGAAGCCGGCGGGTCGGTCGGTCGGTCGGGCGGGACGTTACGTACAGAGAGCGGGCGGGACACCAGAGCGTGCGGGTCGGACGTGCGGGACGTCGCGCGGGGCATTGAAGCGTCGTGGTTGTTCTTCAAAGACGTCGTCGCCGACGTCGACGTCGTGGTCGTCGTCATCGTGGTAGTCGATATTCTCGTCGCCCTCGTTGTGCTCGTCGCCATGGCCCAAGGGGGGGCGGGGGGGTCAACCCCCCTCCGCCGACTGGAATGGGGGGGAGGAAGGTTCGACATCCCCTCTTGGGGGGAGGGTCGAGAACGCCAGAGACTTTGTTAGAAGGGGGGTTAAAATGCGGGCGCGGCCGCAAGAAACCCTCGCAAGAAACCCAACTCTGAGAACCCGTGCGCGAGGTACACCTGAGGGGAAACCCGGAGCACCCTGAACGCAGCAGCTCCTTCCACGGCTGCGGGAAGTCACCGCGCAGCGAGGGTAGCGAAGAAACCCAGGATGCCCTGAAGAAAAGCATGTGGTTTCCTGATGCGCGCCCCCACTGCAGTCGGATCCCCTCCTCTACCTTCCATCGGAGAATCTATCGACACCTGGAGGAGGAATCGGGAGCGGCCAAGAGGGTGGCGTCCAAGAGGGGGAAGTGCAAATCATGGCCGGCGGCATGTGCGCGGCCCAGCGTGGGGGGCCAGGGACGTAATGAAATAAGAAGAGGCGCCACGACATCTGGCGAAATATCATGGCCCCCGTCATGATATCCCCCCCCCCCTCGTCGTCACCCCCCTCTTTGCCGCCCCCGAAAGGAGGAGGGGGGAGCGCCACTCCGTCATCACGTCCTGTCTGGCCCTGTGGACCCCGGAAACGGCAGGGCCGTCTTTTTTTTCACCGTTTCCCCAAAAATGTCCCTTGAAGATGGAAACGGCAAAAAAACGGCGACCGGAAACGGCAAAAAAACGGCTCCAAGATTGGAGCCGAGGCTCGGAACCGGTCCAAAAACGGCGACGGAACCGGTAAAAAAACGGCGTTGGAACCGGCAAAAAAACGGCAAAACGGAGGAACCGGTAAAAAAACAGCCCTGTCGTTTCCAGGGCCCACTGAGGTCTGGCCGCCCCTGCAGCAGCAGCCTGCCGCACGAGGCGGCCGCACCGCCCCCTCGCCGCTCCCGCATCCCCCCCCACCCTGGGCGGCGCACGGGCCCGCCTCGGAGACCACCCGGCGGAGCGCGGCCGACGGAGGAGGAGGAGCCCGAGCGCGCGCGCGCGCGCCATGTCGGCCCGAGAGGACTGGCCCCGAGAGGGCAGCCCCTGAGCTTAGCTGCCCCGATACGCAACACGCAGCACTCATCGTATTGATACGGGGCTCGTCACGTGGGCTGAAGACGTAGGTCCGACGCGACACACTCGCCAAAACGTGGTCCAATACGTGGAGCCAACACGCAACGTATTGACACGGACGTCTTGAGCACGGGACGTGTTGCTTTTCAAGACGGGTGTATCGAGGCAACTAAGGCCCTGAGAAGAAGTCCCGGGCCCGACTGCGGGGAGCCTTCCGCTCCGCCGACTCGCAGGGGCCGCGGGGTGCGTGACTGTGCTGGAGGCCAGCCAGTGCCGGGAGGATCGGGAGGATGAGGACGAGGAGATTCGGGACGAGGACGGGGAGAGTCGGGTGGACAAGGGAAAGACTCGGCCAGGCCAAACGCGGCCAGACTAAACTCGAGCTCAGCCTGGCCGAGCTCGTCCTGGCCGAGCTCACCGGCCGCCCCAGCGGGGGGAGGTGGCGGCGGATGAAGAGGAGGGGACCAAGAGGACGAGAGCGAGGTCGGATGAGGAGGGCGCCCAGGCGGGCACGGTCGCTCATCCGCCTGTGCGCGGTCCCTCGCGCGGGCTGCTGAACCGGAGGTGGGATACACGATCTTCATCGCCATTCGTCGCCAGCATCATCGGGGGAGAAGGGAGGCACCTGCCAGGACACTTCTTTGGGTTGCCCGGCGACGTACGGATACGAGAGGAGCGGCAAGGGGGGAAGCGGGCGAGTGGCCCATTGCCCCTCGCAGCGGGGAGTCCAACAGGCACTTCTTCAGCCAGCCGGGGGCCGGGTGGTCCGTCCACGGCAGCTTGCGCACCAGCCGGAGAACCTCACGGGCGAGGGGGCAGGGGAGGGGAGGAGATGCAGGAGCGAGGGATGGGCAAGCTAGGTGCGCTCGCGCTATACCTGGCATCCTACCCCTCCCACCCATTCCTTCCCACCGCGCTGTTTTTTCTACCCGCCGACGTGTGTCACTACGGACCTGGAACTCCAATGAGGACCCCATCGTATTATGTGGAGTCGGAAAAACCAAGCTGCATACACTGGATGAGGAGATGACGGATGATCCGGAGGATGAGCAAGAGAAAAAGGAGGATGAGGAAGGAGGAACACGAGGACGAACAGCAGCAGAGGCAGGAGCTGGAGTATAAGGCGCGGGAGAAGCAGAAGAACCAGGGAAGGCGGAGGAGGGGAAATGAAGGGGGCGACAAAGATGAGCACCAGAAAAATGGCCCGCGCTGGGGCGAGAGCGACATTGTGAAACGATGGAAAAACGCCGATCCGAAACTGAGGCCATCGCTGCAGCGGGAACACAATTTTGAAACACCGAGAGTTGTCGCAGTCATAGAACACACAAAAGCATCAGTGTTAAGAACCAATACGCGGAGAGGGCAGACTATCTTCTGGACAGAGTCCGGGGAGAGAGGAGAGCAGCATTCACAGTGTGCAGCTGCAGAGAGAGAAAAGGAGGAACACAGTGTAAGAAATAGGAGGGGGAGGACGACGACGGCGACGACCCAGAAAGAGGTAAAGGGAAGAAGACGAGGAGGGGGACGGCGACAAGAGGGCCTGGAGGATGGGGGATGTCAAGCTGGGTGCGCTCACGCCACATTATGATCTCTGACCCCTCCCTCCCATGCAAAATGTACGTGTCCACTGTGATCGGTCGTTCCTGCTCGCCGACGCAGAGGTCGAATCATGCCTGGGCCTTGCGTCGCGTGTGCAGCGCGAGGCGGCCCGGGGTCACGGCGACGTCGCAGGACAAGGAGGAGGGGCAGGGGAAGGAGGGAGAGGAGGATGACACTGAGGAGAACGGCTGACACCTGAGGAGGATGAAACCACGGAGGATGAGACTGAGGAGGAGGAGGAAACCAAGGCGGGGGAGGAGGAAACCGAGGAGGACGACTGACACAAATGTCCTCGTCTGTGGCCAGGGCACCCTGGGTCACCAGGCCGGGAGTGGGGGTCCTGGCTGGAGGATGGGGGTGGGTCGTGCTGTCCTCACGGAGGAGGGAGCGCGCGCGCGCGAGCGCCCAGGAAGGCTCGATGCCTTGGGCAGGACGCGGGCGAGGCCCGGGCCGCCGCGGCGCTCAGGCTGCTTACGCCTCGCTGCGCCTCGCGTGGCTCGTATTTTTTGCACGCGAAGGTCGCTCAACTAAGGTTTGGTCGGGCATGTCCCCCTACAGGGGGATTCGGATTCCGGACGAATAATCAAGAATAGGGAAAATATTCAAACATGATCAAATAATAATCAAACAAATCGTCCCCGTGCCATTTTTTGATTTTCGGATATTCCTTCCATAGAGGGACAGGCCCGACCTAAAACTAATGTGAAGAGGAGGCTCGCCTCCCCCTGGCGAAGGCCAGAAAGAGGGCGATCGAAGGCACCAGCTCCTGAGGCAGAATCGGGGAGACGTAAGACTCGGGCACGGGGGACTCAGGCTGGCCTGACGGGGCCAGCACAAAAACGACGAGGCCCAAAATGACATTTGACGCGCGTTCCCGCGGCAAACGTCCCACGAACACAGGACCGCCGAAATCCAGGACGCGCTCGTCAGAACACGTCGGCAAACCCGGACTCCGGCTTCATCGAGTCTTGCGTGCCCCCGGCACAAGCGCCCGTAGTCCCAGTCCCCAGGGGAAGGACAAGGAGAATGAAACCAGGGAGGACGCCTATTCGGCGTCCTCCCTGGTCCATGCACGGGAACCCATGCACGCGAGGCGCGCGCACTCGCGTCCGAGGCACGCCATCACGACCGAAACGCGCCAGGAAGTGAAGCAGCTGATCTTCAATGCCCGCTTGTTGGGCCTCGCGCCGAGGGCGCGCCCGCGGGCCTGGCGTTTGCGGGACGCACATGTGGAGGGCCCGCCACCCCTTGCCTCTCCGACCCTCATGCAGTCAGGCCCCTTGCCAGAAGGAACGCTAAACAAGGAACGAACCCCCTGTTTTTCGTAATCACACAATAAACATGTAAGGAACGGACGAGCCCCTTTTTGGAAGCGTTCCCTCCTCGGTGCCTCTCGTTTTGACAGAGACCCCCCCTCTCTGCCGAGACCTAAGGAACGGGTGCCCGCGGCACGCAACCCAAGGAACGCCGAGGGGGCTTCGTGACGCAATGGCGAGGGAACGCCAGCAGACCCAAGGAACTACCGAGCCCCTTCCGAACCCGAACTGGACCTTACTTCAGGGGCCACGCCTATAGCAGCAGGAGGAATGAGAGGAAACCCTGGGGGATCTCCGGCCCTCTGGCCCTCGAGGAGCCACCCGCGCGGCGCCCTGGCGAGCTCCAGGAGCAGCTGCAGCTCGCCGGCACGCGACCACGGGAGCCAGGAGAGCGGCGCGCACCGTGGGCACGGCCACCGCGCGGCAGGGCGCGCCTGCACACTGAAACCGTCAAACAGAAGCTCGGCTTCGTTGGGAGTGGACTTCGGCGCGCGCCCCTCTTCGCCTCCAAGATGAAGAGCCACTGCGGCCATCGCGCTGCCAGGCACGCCGAGCAAGGAACGAAGGTGTTCTGCTGCCCCGGCCGGCCCCGGCCACTGGGCAGGTCCTCTGGCCCAGTGGGCGGAGGGAGGGAGGAGGGAGGAGGAGGAGGAGGAGGAGGAGGAGAAGAGGAGGAGGAGGAGGAGGAGGAGAGGAGGAGGAAGAGGAGGAGGAGCAGGTGGAGGAGAGGAGGAGGAGGAGGAGGAGGAGGAGGAGGGAGGGAGGGAGGGAGGGAGGGAGGGAGGGAGAGAGGGGAGGGAGGGAAGAGGGAGGAGGAGGGAGGGGAGGAGGGAGGGAGGGGGGAGGAAGGAGGGAAGGAGGGAGGGAGGGAGGGAGGGAGAGGGAGGGAGGGAGGGAGGGAGGGGAGGGAGGAGGAGGAGGAGGAGAGGAGGGAGGAGGAGGAGGAGGAGGAGAAGGAAGAGGAGTAGGAGGAGGAGGAGGAGGAGGAGGAGGAGGAAGAGGAAGAGGAGGAAGAGGAGGGAGGAGGGAGGAGGGAGGGGCCCGAGGACTGGAGGTCCTCCTGGACTCAGGGGTGGTCAATACTTCAGCGACTCGGCTGCAGCGGTGGGTGCGGGGCAGAAGTCCAGCAGGCGCTGGCGCAGGGGCGCCCCTCGGGACGGCCGAAGACGGTCCGAGGAGTGAGTCTTGGTCGAGACGAGGCCGAAGTCGATGCCGAAAACGATCCGAGGTAGGAAGCACGTGGGAAGCAGCAACTCGTGCAAGCCCGCGTGTGGAAAAAGAACCAACGTGTGGAAGTGGGCGGAGCACGCTGGCACATGATCGGAAGAGACAGAGGGATGGGACTCTTGTTGAGCAGTTGTGAAGGGGCACCGGGCAGAGAGCGTTGTGGCCTTCGCCCGAAGTCGTGCACGGCAAGGGTCTGCAAAACGCCACCAGACTGACGCCACGTGGCCTGCTCGACCTGCAGCCGGAAGCCGCTGGGCGGCCCTGCTCCTACAGCCCCCCCGCCCTTCGGAGATGGACAGACCCCCCTTTAGTAAAACGTGGTTTAGTAAAAACGACCTGAGGCCCAAACCTGGCGGACGCAAGCCTGGAAAATAGCAGCCACGGCGCCCTCTCGAGAACCGAAAACGGATAATCTACTAATCTACGTGTCACTGCGGGGGTTCTGTCCACCCCCGAGCCCTGAAGTTCGAGGGACGCGGGTCGATGATAGAGGGTCGAGGGTCGAGGGTCGAGGATCGAGGATCGAGGATCGAGGTTCGAGGAGCGAGGCTCGAGGTTCGCGGGTCGAGCCCCCCACCTCCCGACAGTGACGCGGGGAGCCGGCCCGGGGAGGGGGGCGCACCTTGTCCTCGTCCTCCTCGCGGTAGAGGCGGTCGAAGATGAGGCTCTGGGTGAACTGCTCCAACGGGTCCTCCCCGCTCGCCCTTCCCCCCCGTGTGGCGAGCCCGGAGGAGCGGACCAAGCGGGACGGGCAGGCTCACGAGCAGGAGCAGAAAGAGGAGCAGTGTTTTTTGGTCACGGGGCCTTGGGGGCAGTGTCACGCGCTAGCTCCCTCGCACGACAATCGCGAGGTGCGACCAGCAGGGGCCGACAAAGGGGCACGAAGGATGAGATACACCCCCCTTGCGGCGAGCCGGGAGCAGGCCGAGGAGGATGGGCAGGCGCACGAGCGGGAGCAGAGCAGGAAGAGGAGCAAGGGGGAGGAGGGGGAGGGAAGCGGGAGGAGGAAGCGGGAGGAAGGAGCGGAGAGGCGGGGGGAGAAACGGGTGGAACAGCGGGAGGGGGCAAAGAGGACGAAGCGAGTGACGAGCAGGAAGATCAGGAGGAGGCGAAGCGCATGCCCACCTGGTGTTCTTGGATGAGGAGGAGGAGGAGGAGGAGGAGGAGGAGGAGGAGGAGGAGGAGGAGGAGAGGCAACGTGCACCCAGGCAGGCAGGCAGGCGGGCTGGCTGGCTGGCTGGTCATTCCTCCTTATCCTCCTCCTCCTCCTCGCCCTCCATCTCCTCCTCCTTCTCCGGCAGCGCTCCTCCTCCTCTTCGTCCCTCTGCTCCTCGTCTTCAAGCCGCCACGTCCTACTCCTGCCGATCATAATCCTTCTTTTCTCGTGGTCGTCCTCCTCTCGCGAGCAGGCGTTAGAAAGTAATGAAACATTCGCCCACTCAAGACAGACGAACGCTGCAGACTTCAACTTGTATCAGCTGCGCGAACTCCGTCGCCTCTCAGAGCTTCCTGATGAAAAGAAGAAAAGAACGTTCGAACGGCAATGACCTGCAAAAGCTCTGCTTCCCAGGGGAACGTCAGGGCTTTCAATCTAAGAAACGCGCGTAGACCTGTCCAAGAGAAGCACGATATCCCAGAAGGCGCGAACAGTCGTGTACACCTCTGCTTAGAATTAAGAAACTTCTACGCTAAGGAAGTGTGTTTCACTCCAAGCGTTTTCTTAAACAGTAATTCAGGTCCAGGTGCACAAATGTTCGACTACAAACAACAGATCCAAGCGGCTGCCCAGGGTCCAGTCCAGATTCTTGGCTGTCCTGTGCGAAATCTGGAGCCTGTGAGTATGTATACTTTGTTCTGAAGACGCCTGACGAGTGCATACCGAGGCCGCTGCATGCAACAGAAGACGCTGCACGCAACATCGCTGGGAATGCTAGTGGCCTCAGCTCCGAAATAAACCCCACGTGGGCCCCACACTCGTAGCCCAGGCTCTCGCACGACCACTGCACTCTGGTACTCCATCCCCAAACCATGTGTAACTGGTATGGTCGCCGGGATCATGAGTGGCATTGTAAGGCATGGCGTGGGCCACTGACTTGGTCCAGCGGACCGATAGCAATGCAGATGGCAAATGATGATGCAGCAGCGACAGCATGAAACCAGCGATGGGGAAAGAGCACGACGCCGACGACGAGCAGCAGGATGAGATGGCAGCGTGCTTGCCACAAACGGCAGCCACTCGCAACGATTGATCTCTAATCAAGCAGAGCCGTGGCTTTCAGCAGTAGTTTCGGTGACCCGAAAGGGGGTCCAGCTGCTAGGGGGTGGTGCAATAGATTTGGGGCAATTGCGGAAATTGTCTTGCAAGTGTACTGCGCCGGAGAATTGTATTGCACTGTACTGCAGGGATTGTATTGCACACGAAAATCCAGCAATACACTTGCGCCCTGGACTGTATTGCACGCCCCAAATGTATTGCAACCCCACGAATCTATTGCACCAAATCTATTGCACCACCCCTTTGTCGCTGGACCCCCTGTTGAGTCAACCCGAGACAGCCTGCCTTGCTCTCGCGCCCCCTCGCGCCTCCAGTGCCCGGCGTTTGCGACCGGATCCTCAGCCGAACCGCACCACTCAGGGAGGCACCCGAGCAGATGCGCCGTGAAGGTGCTGCAGGCCATCTTGCCACGCCAGGGACGTGCCCCGTCTCCATGCAGGGGGCCATGGGACACAGAAACCAATAGACACAAGTCACAGGATTCCACTAGATGTTCCTATTTTTTTGTGGGTTTCCGTCTTCCCCCCGCTTCCCATACGTTCCCATCTGTTCTAGGGTAAAACAAGGCTAGGATCGGGATAAATCGCTCCAGAGCGTTCCGGAGCGCTCTCAGAGCGTTCCGGAACGCTCTGGAGCGGCCGCGGCGCCCAATACATCCTCCAAGCCCGCCGATCCTCAGAGATCTCGAGTTATCCCGATCCGATTTTGTCCCGATCTTCGCGTCGTTTTATAGGGAATCGACGATGAATTGCGTCTGCGTCTGCGTTATATAGGGAATTCGTTTTATAGGGTCTCCATGCAGGGGGCCATGGGACACAGAAACCAACAGGCACAAGTCACAGGATCCCCCTACATGTTCCTATTTGTTCTGGGCTTTCGCCTTCCCCCCCCACTTCCCATATGTCCCCATCTGTTCTAGGGAATCGACGACTCATTGTGCCTGCGTGTTCTTTCCCCCCCCTGACTCCAGGCCACCCCGCCCAGGCCACACCGGCTCCGCCGCGCAGGCCGTGCGGCCCGGCGAGGGAGGAGGGAGCGGAGGGCGAGAGAAGCCCGCGCGGGGGGCGGAGAGAGGCGGGGGGGGGCGAGCTGGCGGCGCCCCAGCCTGCTCACACCTCCTCCTCCTCCTCCTCCTCCTCCTCCTCCTCCTCCTCCTCCTCCTCCTCCTGAGGCGGGGGGGGGGCGAGCTGGCGGCGCGCAGAGGGGGGTAGGGGGAGGGGGGAAGGCTTCTTAGAAGCACCCCTGCTTCTTAGAAGGCATTTGATCGGCGCCTGGCGTGCCGTCGCGACTGAAGCGGGCTCTGGCGAGGTCGCGAAGAAAGTGCGCAGCGGCAGGGGCGTCGAGCGCGCGGAGGCGGGGTGGCGAGGCAAAGGAGCCAAAGCGAGAGATCGGACAACTAGGAATGCCATGACCGACGATGGTGTGCCCGCGGGCCTTCTCTATAGGCGTAAGGCCGAGGCCTTCTAAGAAGCAGGGCGCTTCTAAGAAGACTTCCCCCCTCCCCCTACCCCCGTTTGCGCGCCGCCAAGCGAGCGAGCCTTGCGCCAGACGGCGCCCGAGCAAGGTGAAGCAGATCGCTGCGACGTCGAACATGCTGGAGAGTGTCCCCGTCCGACTCGGAGACCAGGGTCGGGGGCTTACGGTGCTCGCTGGTTCTCGCGTGCAGGAGTCGGGCGGCGGCGGGCGCCATCGACTGTGACCTTGCTAGGGTTTTTCAAGCAGTGGCCCGCGCTGGGACGTCGAACTGCAGCTCTTCGCTAGACAAGCGCGTTCCACTTGTTGCAAAGTAACTGCTCGCAAACGGCCTGGATCCGCCGCGGGGGATCAACGATGATTTATATCGAAGCAGGCACATGTGTGGTCGGACGTTTGCGAGTAGGCACGTTGCGAGTACTGGAGCGCGCTCGGTAATACGCGGTGTAATTCAGGCGTCGTGACTTCTCGGCCAACTCCCACGAGGCTGCCACCCCGCCCGCTTGACGGACATGCGCAGACAGCGCTTCGCAGGAGCCAGCTACTTCGAGGCACACTTTGAAAAAACGTGCTTCTCCCCGCTCGCCGGGGGCGCCCTCCTCTCCGTGGTCTGGCTGGGGGTCGAAGGTCTATGCTACCTGGCATTGCCGGACAGGTTCTGTGTCTAGGCGTCGGGCCAGCTGGACACCGAAAATCATCTGCCTCGCAAGATGGCACATTCGCTGATGAGCTTCCAGCCTGCCATTGCTGAAACAATGTCGCTTGACACTCGGATCGGATGTAATAAGCTGGCTGGAGTCCCAAAATTATCATCGTGCAGCGCGTTTGGAAATTGTCTAAACTTATTCGTTCCATCGTGTGCATAAGGGGGAGAAGGAGAAATGAATGCACAAGCATCAACTGTTGAAGATCTGCGTGGATCTCTTGGATCTGCGCTGGACCCCCCCCCTGGCGCGCGGAGCACGCCAGGGGCGGCGCCTGCAGAAGGACGTGCCCGACCTAACAGTAGGCGACCCCCTGCCTGCTCCTCCAGGGCCCCTCGTGCAGAAACCGCCGCCGCTTCTCCGACCCCACCCCGAGCACAAAGTGGTCCTTCTTTCGGCGCCTGCGCTGAAGGCTGGCGCCGGCACCGAGCCCTGCCACGCCACGTGGCGGCGGAGCTTCGCCAAGCCGGCGGGTAGCCCTCCCGCCCCCCCCCCCCCGGAGGCCGCTACCAGCACCACTGGGATTCTCGCAGGGATCTGCCAGGCCCGGTCGACCCGCAGTGCGAGTCCCGCTGGCAGGAGACGTCGCGGTGCTTCTGGCGCAGCGCGTCCACTTCGAGAGCGCTCCTCGTGGCACGGTCGGCTCAGAGTCGTGCCCAGAGCCAGGCCTTCCACTCCGCGGCGCAAAGGCCTGGGGCGATCGCTCGAGGACACCGCGTCGCCACCAGCGTGCGCCCGCGCCGGGGCTGCCGAAGTGGACCCCGCGCAGCAGGAGCCAGAATATCTCCTGACTCCACCTGCCTCTCCGACTCCGACCTCTCCTCCTGGGATACTGGGATTATGACAGCAGCACATGCCCTGATTCGCCCGAGCACAACCAGAAAATCCTCCTCCTCCTAATCCTCTTAGTCCTTCTCCTCCTCACCCTGCCCCCTCCCTCCCCCCCTCCCGGCCTCCCCCAATAACACCGCTGCCCCTCGCCCTCCCCTCCCCTCTCTCTCTCTCTCTCTCTCTCTCTCTCTCCGACTCCGCTTCCCGCATTCTCCTCCTGCTGCTGGCTCTCCCCATCCGCCTCCTCCTCCTCCTCCACTTCCTTCTCATTCTCCTGTTCCTCCTCCTCCTCGTCCCCCTCCTCCTCCTCCTCCTCCTCCTCCTCCTTCTCCTCCTCCTCCCCTCCTCCTCCTCCTCCTCCTCCTCCTGATCATCCTCCTACTCCTCACGGTTGTTATGCCTCCTCCTCCTCCTCCTCCTCCTCCTCCTCCTCCTCCTCTGTTCCCGCTCCTTCTCCCCTTCTCCTCCTCGACTCGCTGTCCTCCATGCTCTGCTCCTCGCTCCCCTCCCCGTCTCTTCTCCCGCTTCCTTTCCCTCGTCGCCGTCTGCCTGCCGGCGCTGCCCCCGGGCGGTCCTTCTCCTTCCTCTTCTGCCGCTTGCTCTCCGGCGGCTTCACCTCGGGCGAGACGCGCCGCCCCAGGCGCTGCTTCCTTCAAGTCGGGCCTGTCCCTCCACAGGGGGAATATTCCAACAAAAATCAAAAAATGGTCTCGGGACGCTTTTGCTTCAATGTTTGACTATTGGTTTGTAGATTCCTAGGCTATGTTTTGCTTTTCGTCCAGAATCTCCCTGTAGGGGGACATGCCCGACTTATGCTTCCTCTGGGCCAGAGGCCCCAGCATCTCCTCATCAATCCACGGTGGTGGCACGATGCGTCACTACGTAAAAACTGTTTCTCCGTGGGCACAGGTGCTGACATCGACCGATCTCGCGTCTGAGCTCTGTGCGCACCACGTGGGCTCCAGCGACGGGAAGCGCGACTATGAAGAAGCGCTGGGAGCAGAGGGTGGAGGACGCAAGAAATGAGTATCGTTTAACCGATCCCCGTCCCCAGCGGCGTGACCTGGGCCCCACTGGCCGATTTACCCCCCTAGTTTGGGGATATAGGCCGTTCCCTTCGGGTTTCGACGGGTGTATCCCCAACAGGGGTGGCCATTTGGTGGGGCCTCGAAGGGGATGGGGACGGGGATCGGTTAAACGATACCGACTGCGAGCACCACGTGGGCTCCAGCGACAGGGGGCGGCTGTGAAGCAGAGCGGGGGAGCGGAGGGCGGAGGACGCAAGAGAGGGTTGGACAGATGAGAACTTCGCCCCATCGTATCACCTACGCGTGGCGACAGCTCGGGTGCCCAGGCGGTGATGGGCGTGTTTTCCACCACCACCACCACCACCATAAGTTGGAGGGGGGATAGAGGAGGAGGACGAGGAGGAGAAGGACGAAGAAGAGGAGGATGAGGAGGAGGATCCCCTCCCCCTCCAACTTATGGTGGTGGTGGTGGGAAACAGGCCCATCAGGCGAAGTGACTTTTTCGGGGGGAACGAAGGGGGGGGGAAAGCAAAGGGTAGGGCAGAGAATGAGCTCACGTGGCTGATTTTCCCGGCGCCGGGAGGCGCCCATCTGTCGAGGAATGGGCCCGGCGGCGGGGCCGAAGCCAGCTGCATGCAGCAGATTTCGTACCCCCCCCCCCTTCCCTATCCCCCCCTTTCGTTCGGCCCGACTTTTGCCACGACGCATCGCCAAGCAGGCCAAGCTTTCAGGTCAGAGGCACGGGCGCCGCACAATCGGAGCGCCCGAGGAAGAACTCCAGTTGCGGCGGGAGAGCAGGAGAGCGAGGCGCAGTGTCAATACGTCAATTCTGCAGAGGGGTGGGCAGCGAGGTCTTTATTCTCGTCGAAACGGGTGTTCACCCTCAAACCCATCCTGCGCACTGGGGATGGAGGTGGTCCCCATATCTGCGCTCACATGGAAGATGAAGGTACATGTAAATCTGTTCGGACATCAGTTCCCCCAAAAATATCGAGCCGGCTGCGAACCAGTAGACCTCTTCATCCCCCCAGCGTTCATCCGTCCTTCCCTGACCTTGTCACACATCCGTCCTCCTCCCTGCCCCTCATCATCCCCCTCCTCGTCCCCCTCCTGATCCTCCCCCCTATGACCCCCACTGTGGTCCCACGGGAGGCAGCCAACTCCGAGGCCGCCAGGTGGGCTTTTTTTTATTCGGCGTTTCTCGACATTGGGCGGAAAGGGGGAGGGAGGGGGGGCGGGGGAGGGCTCCAGACCTCTGCTCAGTGCGACTGTTGGCATGCGTGTCGCCTCGGGGGGAGGGAGACTCCACCCGCTCGAACCAGGCGCCAACACACAGCCAAGATCTATTCTACAGTAGTGGTCCTGAAGAAGGAACCCTTTTCGTTGGGGAGGGGCTCCGTGTTCCTTGAGTGTTTTCGCAGCTTGCCTTGGGTTTTCCTTCGGTTTTCGAAGGGAAATCGAAGTTCCACTTCTGGAGAAAAGGGGCCTCGTTCCTTATTCAGGGTTCCTTAGGTCAACGCCCCTTCTGTAGGAGGGGAGGGGGGGGGAGGGGGGCCCGCGCCGATCGGCAACACAGTGAACAAAACACGATCGCCGGGCGATCTCTTCACGCACCGATGGCGGCGGGCAGCGGGCCCCCCTGCCAGTGGAGGCGTAAAACAGGGCTAGGATCGGGATAAACCGCTCCAGAGCGTTCCGGAGCGCTCTCAGAGCATTCCGGAACGCTCTGGAGCGGCCGCGGCGCCCAATACATCCTCCAAGCCCGCCGATCCTCAGAGATTTCGAATTATCCCGATCCGATTTTGTCCCGATCTTCGCGTCGTTTTAAGGCGGCCCACAGATGGGCGGCACGAGTGGCCTGCGGGTGCTGGAGGAGGCGGCCCGAGGCCGGCCGCGGCTCGCTGCCTCGGGCGGTGGCCCGGCCGCTGCGCGGCGCGGCGCAGGGCGGCGCGGCGCGGCGCAGCGCAGCGCAGAGCCGCGCGGAGCCGGGCAGAGCACCGCGGATCCGCCGGCCCCGCCGACGTGCGTGAGAGGGGGCGCTCGTCCATTCGGGCCGTGGTCTCCGTCGCTCGCGGGTCGTCGTCTCGGTCGCCTCCTCTCCCTGCGGCCCCCACGTTCCCTGGGCCCGCCGCCGCCTCCCCGCCTCCTTCTGAGCCCTCCTCCCCGAGCGCGCCAGCCACAGCGAAATCGAGCAGCGTTGCACTTCAGTCGAAGGGAGGCCCCTTCCCTCTGACCCCTCCCCCGTCGGGCGGGCCCCCCCCCCAGGGTCCAAGGTCCCCAAGAAGTCCCAGGACGGGTCAAGAGTGCCCGAAGAGGCCCCCAGGACCCAGGACGGTCCAAGAGGGCCCCGAAACCCCGAACGATCTGTCCAAGACGCATTGACGGCCTCCAGACGGCCCATGAGGCCTGCACGACGCCCCAGGAAGCCTCCAGGAGCATTCCGAAAACAGCCCCAAGACGCAACATTCATACGTGTCCTTCAAGTTTTTGAAGAATGTTGGCCTTCTCGACTCTTCCGCTTCCCGACGGTTCAAGGCGGCCCAAGAGGCCCCCCAAATTGGTCCAAACGGTCGAACGTCCTCCAAAAGGTTCCCAAAATGGCCTAAGAGGGCTCCAAGACGGCCCGAGACGCCTCCAAGACAGGCCAAGAGGCACCCTAGACGGCTCCAAGAGGGTGCCCAGACGGGAGACCCGAACGGACATCTCGAGTCCTCGCCCCCGAGAAGGTCTCGGGAGGACCCAAGAGGCCTCCAAGCCCCCAAGAAGCCCTCAGGAAGCCACTGGAGGCTCCCAAGAGACTCCAAAGAGGCCCCTCAAGAGTCTCCCTAAAAACGCCCCCAACCTGACCACAGGATGCCTCACCGGAGGCCCTAACCTTACCTCGACCTCTTCCTCCCCATGCGCCTCCTCCTCCTGCCCCTCCTCCTGCCCCTCCTCCTCCCCCTGCTCTGCGTCGTCCTTCTTCTCCTGCTCCTCCCCTTCATCCGCTTCATCTCCCGAGCCTTGCTCCTGGAGCTCCACCTGGTATTCGCCCAAGATGCGATCTTTCTCGGGATGATAATCGAGGACTTCGAGAAGAGCTGCCCCTGCTCCGCGTCGTCCTTCTTCTCCTGCTCCTCCGACTCCCCTTCTCCTCGTCTTGCTGGCCTGCTCGCTTCCCCCCCACGCCCCGTTCTTCCCTCCGCCCCTGCTCCCCTCCTCATCCTCCTCCTCCTCCTCCCTCCTCCTCCTCCTGCTGCTCCACGCCTCCTCCTCCTCTCCCTCCTGCATCCTTCCTCCTCCTCCTCCGCCTCCCTGCTTCCTCACAGCCGCGCCACTCCTCCTCTCTCTGCCTTCCTTCCAGTCCATCCTCCTCTCCTTCTCCTCCACCTCCATCCTCCTCCTCCTCCTCTCGTGCCTCCGCATCCCCCTCACCCTCTTCTCGACAACGTCCTCCGTTCTCCTCCTTCCTCCTGCCTCCTCCTCCTCTTCTGCTCCTCACGTCATACCGTCCCTGCCTCCAGTCCTGCCTCCTCCTGCCCCCCTCCACTCCTCTCGCTCCTCCCACTCCTCCCCCTCCTCTGCTCCTCGCCTCCTCCTCCGCCTTCCTTCCTCTCCTCCTCGCTGCGTCCCTCAGTCCTCTCTGTCCTCGTGCTTTCAGGGTCGGCGCGACCTTGCCTGTTAGGGCCTTTCAAACACCAATAAACTGGGCAAACAGTGCGATGCAAAGCGATGAAAAACAATGTAAATCGATGCAACACAATGCAAAACAATGCAACGTGATTGGGCCGGAACGGACCCGCCAGGGGCGCAAACGGGCCCCGTTCCTTAGAAGGGAAGTAAGAGACCCTCAGTGCAAGCACTGTTTGGGGAATACACACATACATTTATCCCCACATCCCGTGCTCCTCACTCGCAAGGCTCCACACACACGCGCGCGCGCGGTCACAGGGCTACACACACACACACTCATGTGGTGCAACACACATGTGGCTCGAAGGCTGACCCGAACATCGCTTACGAACACAGGTGTTCCCGAACCGTTTGCGAGCCGTTCGCTTTGAGCATCTCTGTTTCCCTTCAACCGAGCGGCCGTTGGCAAGGCCCTTAGTTCGCGAACAGAGGGTTCCAAACCGTTGATGAACCATTTGCGAACATCCGAACGCGAACATGATTTCTCCACCCTTCCGAACACACTGTAGGGCACGCCAAGATGTAAGTCCATACAAAAACCATGGTTCCGCACAACATGGTCGATTGGAGAACTGAACACAAAACATGTGTTGAGCAGGAACCGACCGTCCCGGCATTTCTAGAGGCCTATTCTTAGAACCCAGGAATGTTCTAAGAATGAAGCAATGTTCTTAGAACATGAGCCCGACGTGTTCAAACAAAACAGACTCAGCCAGAAATGTTCTAAGAACATCTCGTGCAAACCACAAAAGGTTCTTTGAACACTCTTTGGTGGGCCTGTAGGGGAGCCAGGACGCTTCGCCACTGCTTGCATGTCCACGTCTCACGTTTACCTCCGCCGCCTTGCGCCGACGGTCACTTCCGCTGGGCCCCGCCAGCCTCAGCCGAAAGCGAGACGCGCCGAAGGCGAGGGCTTTGTCTGGAACGCCCTGCGCAGGGGCTGTGCACACGGGATTCCAGCACACAAGGCTTACAAGGCTCCACGCGTGGGAATCTCTCATGTCTCCATGTTTGGAGCCCACGTGCTAGTATACCGTGTCGTGCTCCTGGACACCTCTCCGAAACGATTTGATGCTGGCGTCGGCACTGCCTGGTAGTACGAGTCCTCCAACATGATCTCGAGCCGCAGGGGCAGCGACTTGGCGTTCTTTAGCCGCAGCATTCGCTCCAGCCTGCACCGGCGGTGGGGCCCAGAGTGGAGGTCGGCAGGGAGTAAGGGAACGGGAGGGAAAGAGGATGACAAGGAACGGGAGATTTCGGCGACCACGATGTCGAAAGCGTTAGGCGAATCACCTCTGAGGCCAAGTCGCTTCCTGGTGCCAGCAGAAGACACTGGCACGTCCCTACCCCGGGCTGTATTCTTTTTTCGTAGAATGACTCCTCCCTGTCGCATCCCGAGGTCGTTCCGAAGGGCCGGGCGTTTCGCCTGAGATTTCCTTACAATTTGTGGGCCTGAAGCTTAGAAGCGGGCAACAGCTTCACAAATGGAGGGTGGGTCGCTTCTAGAATGTGGCTCTCGCCTCAGCGACGCGCACGTTTCCCTATAACATTTCCAACAGCTTCACGGATTGAGGGCGGACCGTTTTCAAAATGTGGCTCTTGCCTCAGCGCCACGTACATTCGTTTTCATACTTTGCACGAGTTTCACGAATTGAGGGCAGGTCGTTTTCAATATGTGGCTCTCGCCTGAGCGCAGTGCACTTTCGTTTTTATGTGTTGCAAGAGTTTCACGGCTTGCGGGAGGATCGTGTTCAAACTATGGCTCTCGCCGCGAGCTCGCCTTAGCGCCGCGCGCACTCGTCTGAAACAATTGCCAAAGCTTCACGGATTGCGGGCGGTTCCTTTACCTCTTCATGTTCAAAATGTGGCTCTCGCCTTAGCGCTGCGCAAGCTCGTTGTAAGAATGTGCGAGAGTTTCACGGATTGAGGGCGGGAGGTTTTCAAAATGTGGCTCTCGCCTTAGCGCCGCGCACATTCGTTCAAAGAGTTTCGCGGATTCTCGTCGTTAACAGATTCAGGATTGCCAAGGCGCAAGTGTTACGATGATTCGCGGTGTGAAGTCCCAGGAATGTGTTCTGGCACGATTCATCAGGACCGCTGAAACGCAACTGTCAGGTTGACCCTCTGCGTTGAAGTCCTGAGCGCTTCAGAATTGTCACACGGTTTTCTCCCGACGGGACCCTTGCACGGGGCATGTGAAGAGGGAGCTTGGAAGGAGGGCGTATCCTAACATCGTTGATAAGTCTTGCACTGGTCCCACCTTCTCCTCCTCCTCCTCCTCCTCCTGCTCGTTGCCCTCCTCCGCCTCCTCCTCCGCCTCCTCCTCCGCCTCCGCCTCCGCCCCCGCCTCCGCCTCCGCCTCCGCCTCCGCCTCGTCCTCCTCCTCGGCCTCCTCCTGGTCCTCCTTTCCTCGTTGTCCTCATGGTCGCCTCTTCTGCCCCAGCTGCTTCTTGCCGTGGCTTTGGCCACACCCCCGCTCTCACGGGGCCGGCATACGACGTGTCAAGCTGAGGCCGCGCTGCGCACTAGCTTACGCACTGTGCTCACTGGAAGGACTCAATCGGCACGAGGCCGCCCCTCGGAGGGCCGCCACGACCACGGCGTGCCCTCGCCCCCGCGAGGCGTGTCCGCAGCCACCGGGCAGCTGCTCCGCGCAGCGGCCCCGACAGCGCAGCGCCCCAATGTTGCGTCAGGACGCTAGTCTCTGCACTCCTGCTCCTCCTTCTCCTCCTCCTCCTCATCCTCTGCCTCCTCCTCCTCCTACTTCTCCTCCTCCTCCCCCTCCTCCTCCCCCTCCTCTGCCGCAACTGCCTTCTCCGACTCCCCCTCCGCCACGACGCCTTATCTGACTGGGCTGATCACGCCTGACCTGCTCTTAACTACTTGCACGTATGGCCTCGGGGCGCCTCCTGGAAGGAGGCGGGGGATTAAACCGAATAGTCGTCGGGCACTTTGGCTTGGCCAGCTTTCACCACCTCAAGCCGTTGAGGGGCCGCTACATGTAGCTTGTCCCCAGCGGTCGGCCACTTCCATCGTCGTGCTGCCGATGCAATTACAAGCAGGAACTTTTGCATAGCGTGTCGCCACGGTGGCCCCTGCGACACGCTGTGCCCTGCGAGCGGATAGCGTGTCGCTCCGCTCCGCGGAGCGGGAGACTCGGATAAACCCGGGACGCTGACGCTGGGCGGCAGGAAGTGGACAGCGTGTCGCACTGAAACGTGGTGGGCCAGAATCGGCGGCGCGACGCGCTATCCAAAAGTTACCGACCGTATGAGCCGAACGCGGCGGCCGCCGTCTGATTTCCCGAATGAGATCCGCAGGCCGGATGCTGCCCAGGGGTGGGCCCGGCGGACCCGAGGCCGAGGCGGAGGACAGGACACGACGGGACGACGGCCCCGGGGACGACACGGGCTGCGTGGGCATCTGGGCGCGCACGATCCCAGGGCAGGGTGCCTGGCAGGCTCGCGCCACTCAAGAGCAGGGGGAGGCACGGCGAAAGCGGACCGATGATGGGGGAGAGGGGGCGAGGGGGTGGCAGGGGGCAGGGGGCGGGGGGGGACGGGGGAAGGTGAGGGGACGTGCGGAAAGAGCAAGGGGAGCCTGGAGGTGGTAGAGAGGGAGGGGGGAGAGTGCGGGAGAGTGAGGGGGGGGAGGAGAGGGATGAGGAGGGCAGAAAATGTCGTGCTCTGCTGTGCAGGGAGGCGCGGATGTTCCACCCTTCCACGCCACCCCACAGGAGGGACCACTTCTGCCAATACTGGGAAAGCAAGACTCTCCCGAACCTTAAAAACCAACAAACACACACACACACACAAACACACACACACACACACACACGCAACCAAACAAAACACTGGGTTCTCAAACAGGACCCAGGAGACCCGCAAGAGGCCCCCGGGACAGCCGCCGAGATGCCGCCGAGAAGCGAGGCAGCGACCGTGCCCACCCTGCACACTGGGGCCGCGCAGAGGCTTTGGCACTGGCAGCGCTGCGCCGAGGCCCACCCGAAAGCAAGTCTGGCGACCCTTTGCGAGAGAGCTCGGCAGCATCCTCGCGCCCTGGGCGCCACCAGAAGGTCCTGGAAGGGGGGGGGGGATCCCGCGGCGCCCTCGCACAGGCGACGGTCGTGCCGAGCCTTGCCGACAGAGCTCGGCAGAATCCTCACGCCCCAGACGCCACCAGATAAGTCCCTGGGGGGGGGGGGGCCCGCAGGGCCCTCGAGCTTCGACGGCTGTGCCGAGCCTGCTCCAGAGAGCTCGGCAGAACCATCCCTGGCCATCGCTCGGACGTCCATTTCCTGTGTGTTTTTTTCTGTTTCGTGCGTGGTTTTTTCGCCAAATTATCAAGGATGCTCCTCGATGGTCCTCGCCGAGGAAAAAAAAAACGCACACGTCTAAGCGATGCCAAGATCCTGCCCCTGCGTACACGCCGGTGCTTCACCGGCGCGCGCTGGCAGCCGGACGTTCTGGCGGCTGCCACCGAGGCTGCCGCGAGGAAGCACCGCGAGTGCCGGGCCGCCCTCGGCGGGGGGAGGCGCAGGTTGTCCGTGCGGGTCGAAGTCTCTGGCGTGTAGCGAAGATAGCGTCCTTCGCCGCCGCGCCAGGTCGCTCCCTTCCCTCCCCCTTCCTCCAAGCCCACCTCCCCCTTCCCCTCGCGTCTCCTCCCTCCCTTCCTCCCTCTCTGTCCCCGCCCCTCCTTCAATTCCTGCTTCCCCTCCTCTGCTTCCCATCATTCCTCCTCCTTGTTACGACCCCCCCCCCTCCCAATCCCCCTCCCAATGTCCTCCCTCCACTCCTCCTCCTCCTCCTCCCTCCTCCTCCTCCTCCTCCTCCTCCTCGGAGAAGGTATCCTCCTCTCTACCTTGCACCGCTGCGCACACCCTATCTCCCACGACAGTTGAGCACAAGGCCACAAGAACGAGCGTCAAGAACATCGGCCCCTTCGCACAAAGCGAAAAGCTTTCCAGGGCGGAAGGCCCAAACAGGAAGGAAACCAGGGTACCCCTGCCAACAATCTTTACTTGTATTGCTTCTAGTACTGAAATTATGAGACGTATATAAAAGGTGCCCCTCCAAACCGAAGGCTGTTGCTGAATTTCGTGCCTATCGTGCCACTTAGCCTTCCCTCCGCTTACTATGCTGCACATCCTCTCCCCCAGCACGTTCCATCCTCCTGCACATGCTTCTCCACCTCATCCTCAGCCTCCTCAGCCTCCGTCCTCCCTCCTAACGGCGAGAAGTGCTCGTTGTTCACTCATGCCTCCTCGCCCCCTCCCCTCCCCTCTCCGATCCTCGTCCCAGCAACCTTGCTCCTTCTCTCGCTGCGTCTCCCTCCGCACAATTTTCCAACCGGTCTGGAGCGGGGCAACTACCTCGAGGCCCAGGGCGATATTCCCCAATCAATGGCTTGCACTGAAGGGGCCCTTAGCGGAGGTTGGATGATTTGGCGAAACATGCCGGCCGATTTCGGTGGGCGGCCGGGTTCCCGGTTCCTGGCTACCCCGTTCGCAATTGTTGGTTCTCGGCCGTTTTCGGCGGGCGACGGGGTTCCCAGGGTTCCCGTTGTTGGTTCCTGGGTGCCCCGTTTCCTGCTCGATCTCTGTCGGCTTCACTATCGATCTCACCATCTCTCTCATTCAATCAATCGCACTATGGATCTCACTACCGATCTCCCTCTCGATGCCACCATCGAAATCACTATCGGCCCCACTGTCGACCACACTATTGGTATCATTATCGATCTCACCATCGATCTCACGAGCCATATCACGATCGATCTCGCGATCACTCCCACGATCGGTCCCACTATCGATAGCATCATTGATGTCACGATCGATCTCACTATCGGTGTCACTCAATAGATCTCACTACCGATCCCACAATTGATCTCCCTATATTTCAATGTCGATCTCACCATCGATCCCACTGTCGATGCTTCACCATCGATCCCACTATCGATCTCACTATCGAACACACGATCGATCTCACGATTGATTTCACCATCGATCCCATCCGATCGATAGCACTACCGATTTCATGATCGACATCACGATCGACAATGCGATCGATCTCACTATCGATGACCTCACTCAATCGACCTCACTACCAGTCTCACTACCGATTTCACGATCGATCTCACGATCGATCTCACTTTCGATCTCACACTTCGGATCTCACCATCGATCGTACCATCGACCTCACTATCGCAAGCATAGCATAGCATTGCATAGCATATAGAATAGCACCGGACACCCCGCGCCACGGGACACCACGGGGCACCACGGGACGCCATCGGGACACCATCGGGACACCGTCGAGACACCAACGGGGCACCATCGGGACACCACAGGGCCAGCTGGCCAACCAGGGGGACAGCAGCGTTTGGTTCGGCTTCGCCCTGGCAACGGCGGGTTCATTCCTTTCGCCAACCCACGCAGCTTCGCCTCGCCCGCACGCGCGACACGATGTCGCCCCCCAGCCTCCGATGCATAGAGAAAGAGGGAGAGAGAGTGAGAGACAGACAGAGAGAACCAACCAAACAACCATGAAACATAAAGAACGAGAAGGGCGGACTAGAAAGAGAGAGAGAGAGAGAGAGTTGGAGAGAAGAGAGAGAGAGAGGGAGATAGATCATGGAAAGTCGTCCCCAAAGGCATGGATGGCGCTACGAACGGAAAGCCACGAACGACCTGCCACATGGCCAGCCCAAGTGTGGAAAGAAGCGCCATGGTGATGATAACCTGTTTGGTCAATCGTGGGTCTGATGACGGGAGATTGAAGTGATCAGGGGAAGAGCTGAGAGGGATGAGGTGGAGTAAGTGGGGTCAGGGGGAGAAGAATAAGAGGCATCCTTATATTGAGCAGACGTTGGTGGAGCAGGAACAGAAGACTGGAGACGACGACAAGGAGGAGGAGGAGGACGACGACGACGACAAAAACGAGGAGAAGCAGGAGGAAGAATGGCCAGCAGGGGTGAAGGAGAGGGTCAAGACGATGGGGTGGAGACGGATGACCAGGATGAAGACGATAACATATTTCCAATCGGAAATTCAAGTGTCTGACGAGTCCTGCAGGTAGTGAATAATTGGTCACCTCCCAGTGTTTCGACACAAAGAAACCTTCTGTAACGCGCCAAACACCGCGACAGTTATCACTGAAATCATTGTATGCTTGAAGTGATCCCCATGTTGGCGGACTACCATGGATGCGAATATTGTGGCGCCAGCGGGAAACCTGCCGATCTCTGCTCTGCCTATTGGAAGTGGGAAATCGAATTCCCGTCCAGCGCCATGCTGACTGCGGTGCTCGTGGCGCGCAGTTTCTCAAAAGTCCAGCACCAAGCGCAGCGCGAGCAGCGGCTGGTGCACAGTGCACGGTTTCCTCCTCCTGACTTGGTCACATCCTATCAGAGCCTAGATGCAAAATTAATGTGGCCATCGTCGGGCGTACGTCCCGACTGGCGTCCGTCGATGCTGCGCTGTCGAGCTGACTCTGAGCTGTTGTTGCACCGCTCCTAACTGGGGTACTTAGGAGCTTGCGTTAGGTCGGGCATGTCCTCCTACGGGAGGGTTTTGGATAAATAATGAAAAATAACAGGAACATGCGCAAACATAATTGAAACATACAAGCAAACATCGTCCCCCGACAAATTTTGAACTATTCTTGAATATTCCTCCTGTAGAAGGACAGGCCCGACCTAAAGCTTGCGCATAATCCAGTTCGCACACTCGTAGATGGTCGGGCCACGTTTGTGAAGCGAACGTGTGGTCACGCGTCGCTGTTGTGCACTAGTGGTCGTAGCCCTTCCGCATGCTCAGAAACCTACGGATCGAACCCTTGAACTCGTCCGAGAGCAGAGGCCTGAACGGACACCGAGCATCGATCTTCCGCTGATCAGGTGGCGGTCGCACGAATAATAAGAGTGCTCGCCAAGGTAGAAGACCTCCCACGTGGTGTTTGCCATCTTCCTCGCCGCATGGCCAAGGGAATGGCCAAGGGAGAAGCCGCAGCCAACAGGCACCCGAACTGACTTATCCTTCGGTGTGTTGAACGTCCAGTCCAACTTGCAGCGCCTGGCCAAGCTGACGTTCGGCCTCTCTCCGAACATGAAGACAAAGGTTCTCACCTGATCCGCGCTGACACACAGCGTGTTCAGCATCCGCCTGCGCCAGTTGTTACTTAGGGGCTTGCGATGGATCTTGAAGATCGGGTGGGTGGCCGTAGGTTCTTTGCTGGTGCACGTGCTGTACCTGCTGAGTGTCATCCTCTAGGTCTGCCCCGCGATTTCGGAAGACGGAGTCGCACGCTTCTTCCCCAACGCAACCGCCCGCAGCTGGTCACCGACTTCGCTAGACAAGAATGCTGTGTCCAGGTCGTCACGCTAGTGCCCAGAAACAACGTGCTTTAAGGACAATGGAGGAGAAGCAAGAGGCACAAAAACGAGACAAGGGCGGATTCACTTCAGGCGTCTTGCGTACAGCACCTACGGTCCGACCGAACACTTACAGAACAAGGGTTCACACAGCAGCTATCAAGGGCCAAAGGCACAGCACACAGCACATTCAAAACCGTGCAGCGTCACAAGTCATAGGAACATAACCCAAATTCATATCACGCAAAGGGGAAGCAACATGACGAGGAAAGCAGCGGCTATGGCAGGGCAGGGATCGAATCCGAGCGGAACGAGAGGACGCTAAAACGCCAGGAGAAAGCCAGAATGCCAGAGCTGAGAAACCCAGCCCAAAGGGTCGGCGTACCATACAGCATGCACGCACCAACTTCCTGGTGGTGCGAAGCAAGATCATAGCCAGGGTGCGCGCGTCCTGCCTGCTGCCAGCCCGGCACATATGCCCAAACCGACGACTGGAAGAACCCAATCGTTGATTGGAGGATCTTGTTCTGTCCAAGAGAAGCGTCGAATCTCGGCAGGCGTCCGCCTCACCTCGGCTTCCAGGGCGTCGTCGGCACTCGTCAGCGCCACGCGGAAGCCGAACTCAGAATGCCCGGACGTCGACGCCGAGCCCGGGGGGGACGTCGGAGGGGCCGCTGGCCTGTTCAGCAGGCTCGGACAGCCTCCAGCCTCCTGCGAGATCGCATGCACCTTCTCCGGAGGCAGGGCCGACTTCTCAGCAGGCCAGAGGGCTTCTGCGAAGTCCCGCCGCCTTCTCTGAGAAGGCCTGCACACTCTCACTCTCACTCCCCCCCACCCCCCACGGGCGCGTCGCCGAGAGTGGCGCCGGGCTGCCTCGGCGGCGTTGCGCACGCGGCCCGACAGAAACGGCTGCTCTTGTTTGCTCGCAGCGGCGCGGCTCCACGCCGCGGTCGGTGGCGCCCCAGGGGCACTGTGCGGGGCCGAAGCGGGCACGGCAGGGAATGGCAGGAAGGGCGCGGGCCCCGGGGGGAGGCCCCGGGCGGCGGAGCACGCTCCGAGCATGCATCGGGTGCTGCTGGAAGTGCCCCTGGCCCAAAGGTAACCCCCGCCTTTCGCGCTATTTGGGTTACCCTGGGGCCTCCTGGGCGTCGTGAGGGGTGCCCTGGAGGCCGTCTGGGCCACCCCGATGATCTTGGGGGGTGCCGTGGGCCAGGGGTGCCTCTAGCAATCTCGTGCGTGCGTGCCGGAACACAAGCCTGCACAGCAGGAGCACGCCGTGGGCGACCGCGCAGGACGTCGCATAGGCGCCCGGCAGCTCTGGCCACACAGAGCTGCGCTCGCCGCGCCTGCAGAGCATCCCCGCGCCTGGGCCGCCTCCGGAGCCGCCCCGCCGGCGCGGCTGTCCCGCCGCAGGCCCAGGTCGAGGCCGGCCACCGCAGAGGGGAGGGTGCAGCCCATGGCGGCGATTGGGCAAGCAGGCCTCCTCGAGGATGGAGCCTCGATCCTCGAGCCCCCCCGAGGATCGGAGTGCTATCGGTCGAGTCGCGTCGGAGATCTGCGGTCCCAGACGTCCGACGGTCTGACTTCTCCGGTGCGCGGCCCCAGTGGCCCCGACCCGCTCCCCGAGGGCAACTTTTCGCCCCCAGATCCATCTTGGATGGTCGCGGGGCCCGATCACGGGCCCTTCACCTTGACACTCAAGACTGGCCGTGCGGTATTGGACCCGTGGGCGTGCTCTTCATGGCGCGGGGGGCAGTCCACCCGACGCCCCCCTGCCCCCCTCGGTCCATGCCGGAAGATCAGGCTCATGATGATGGTGAAGAGAAGGATGAGGCTGAGAGGGGGGAACCGAGGAGAGCAAGTGGCACAAGTAGCAGGACGAGGCAGGGCGACCGACGCGGCCCCCGTCCGCAACACTGGAGGATGTTCGCGCACAGCTCCGCGTTGATGTGCGAGAAGTCGTCGCACAGCGTGTTGAAGGTGTCGAGGATCACGCCAGGAGGGCACACCTGGGGGGAACTGGCACGGCCCAGCCGTATGAGCACCTCTGTGCAGGCGCACCGCACCGCGATGCCGCGCGGGCAACTGCAACACGCCACCCCACTGGGCTCCCCTGGGATGCAGCCGCGGGGCGGCAGCTGCACACTTGGAGGCCCCCCAACAAACCAAGGCATCGTCGCTCGATGAGAGCGCTGAAGCCAACCACTGAGGCCCACACCTCGGCGTGGCGACCTGCTCTCGTGCACCGTATGGTATGATTCGCTCGCACTCCCTGAAGCACGACGTTTCCTAGCTTACGAAAAGTCTGCGCTTCCAGAGCCGCATTCACCCTGGAACTGCACGGGATTGTCGATTCGAAAGCCAGGGTACCTCGTAAATGGCTAGAGTGTCGCGCCCCTGGCGCCAAGAGCTTTCGTGAATCACAAGCGGACGCGCTCCCAGGACCACACTCCCTGGCAAATTGCAATCGAACCAAATTCTGAGATACACGATTTCCCATCTAACACAACGGGGCCCTCGCTCCCAAGGTCTCGCTCCCGGGGTCCGCGACACCTCCGACTGCCCGAATGATCGAGACGTCCAGAAACCTCGTTCATCAGTCCTTCCCTCAATTCGTCCTCCTGCTTCTCTCCTCTTCGCCACAACCGAATTCCGATTCTTGCGACTGCATCGCACTCTGCATGGCACGGCGCAAGGCGCGCCGTGGCCATTACCCCGTGTGGTCAACCAACCTCCACTTCTGGAGAGGCAAAGGCGTGCGAAACACACCCGCAACCCGTCTCTGTTTACTGGCACACCAGCCGAAACCACGCACAGAGACACGAACGACTCTTGACCTATTCACTGTTGTAGGGGTCGATGGAACGGCGAAAGCCTCTTGAATACTGGAAGGGGCTGGAGGAGAGGGGTGCGGAAGGGGGGGTGGGGGAGGTCAGGGTTCGCGAGGATGAATCCCTCCTCCTCCCTCCTCCCTCCTCCCTCCTCCTCCCTCCTCCTCCTCCTCCATCCTCCTCCCTCCTCCTCCTCCTCCGCAGCCATTGTGGCTCAACCCGTTCTCGGCCCTGCCTCGGCCGCGCCCGCCTCGGGCTCCGCTGCCGAGTCTCGCTTGGGAGATGCCTGCGGTCGGCCGCCAAGCTGCCCCCCCCCGCGGCAGCCGAGCGGCCCCCCGCTGGACCTGCCAAGGCGAGGCGCCTCGCTGCCCCGCTCGGTCAACCCGGGCCAGCAGGGCGCTGCGACCCGCGAGGGTCATCGAGCGCCTGCCGCTGGCCGTCCCCGTGCTCGTGGCGGTGCTCCCTGGCACGCAGCGCGGGACGGGAAGGTCCTGCGCTCGACCTGGCCGCGGCAGGCGTCGGCATCGAGCAGGTTGCCTCCCAGTGCGAGCCCCTCGGCGGCTCGCAAGGCGGCGCTCCTGGTTTCCCTGCCGCCGCGGACGCCGCCAGCAGCAGCAGCAGCCTGGCAGGGCCCGGCGTGGTGCAGCAGAGTGTTTCCCTGAGCGTGTCCCTCGACGGCGGGCTGGGCGGCACTTCCTCAGACGCCGCGCCGGCTCCTGCATCACCAGCTGCGGACGTGGGCGCCTCCTCGCAGGTATGCAGGCGCGCGCCGCCGCTGACCGTCGCCAGGCGCAATGCTGGCATGCATTGCACCTCGCGGAGGGGCGCATCCATTGCGAGGATGCGGATGGCCTCGCTGAACCGCCTGCAGCGCGGCGTGCGGAGGCCGCCCTCGAGGCGCACGCCGTGCGCAGCGGCCCCTGCGGGGCATCGTCGCGTTCCTGGTGCGCGTGCGGCTGCGGACGCGGCGCCCTCGTGCTGGGCCCCTGCGGCTCGCAGGCGAGGCCGCCGCCTGCCCACCAGTGCTGCCTTCGACCTGGCGGACAAGGTGCGAAGCGCAGGCAGCCCGCGCACACTTCCCCTCGATTCGGGCGCGCGGTGGTGGAATGCAGCTGCTGAGGACACTGGCCGCGTCTCCCCAGCCGCAGACGCCACCTCGGGCCTCGCAGGCGCCGTGGTGCAAGCGCACTTCGCGGGCCACGAGTCCGAGAGCAGCCCGCACGTTCATCGCGATGCTGCTCGGCACCCTGGCGGGGCTCCGGCGCCCTCGTCGAGACGGCGGGCGGCCCCGTCCGGGGCCCCCCCCTGGCCCACAAGCCGCCACGCCGGAGCCTCCTGGTGGTAGTGGCAGTCCTTCTGCGCAAGCGGTTGGTCGCCCCAACGACGGGTCTCTGGAGGGACCTGCGCCTCGAGGTGCCACGGTTGTGACGGCCGCTGTGCGGCCAGGCCGCGAGGGGCCGCATCTTCCTCCTCTGCGTCGTGGACGTGCAGACGCCCTTCATGAGGCGCACGAGGCGGACGTGCAGTGCGTCCCCGACGACGGCGCCGCCCCCATCGCCGCGTTGGGCCGCTGCGACGGCCTCTCCGACCCGTTCGACGAGAGGAGGGTCACGGGTGGGCGCCGACGGCACCTGGTCCTCCAGCGCCACTTCTTCCAGACGGCGGCCACGGAGCTGTTCGAGGGCAAGCCGTTCGAGGTCTGGGCCCAGGAGCGCGAGGCGGAGCACCAAGCGCTGATCCTGGAGCTCAAGCGCGAGCACAGGGACGGCCTCGTCGCCAAACTCAGGCTGAAGGCCAGGCGCCAGTGACCTGCGGCGACGCCGGCTCGCGCGACCTGCTGGGTCCGCCTCGTTTGCTGACGCGGCGCCCCTCGGCGTGGGTTTGGGGGCCGCCGCCTGGGATCGGGCTCGCACTAGGGTGCGAACCCGCATCCCCGTTGGGGTTGGGGCCGCCGCTGGCGGCTGCTGTGGTGCCCGTTTTTGTCCCCGCCGGGGTGGTCTCCGCCGGGCCTGGCTTCTCCGGTGGAGGGGCAAGGTCTGGGTGGAAGCCTGTCTGGGCTTGGGTCTTGGGGCCTCCTCGTCGCCTGGAGCTCTGGCACGGCGCGCGGCTGCGGCGCCCGCTCGGGACGTGGCGGAAACATCTGGGGCCCTGGCGGTCGACTGTGTGCAGACGGCCGCCAGGGCCTCTTTGATCATGATCCATCCATTCATCAATCCATCCATCCATCCATCCATCCGTCCGTCCGTCCATCCATCCATGCATCCGTCCATCCATCCAGCATTCCATCCATCCATCCATCCATCCATCCATCCATCCATCCATCCATCCATCCATCCATCCTCCTTCTCCTTCTACTTCTCCTCCGCCTCCTCCTCCTCCTCCTCCTCTTCCTCCTCCTACTCTTCCCCCTCCTCCCCCTCCTCCCCCTCCGCCCCCTCCTACCCCTACCTCCCCCGTCCTCCTCCTCCTTCTTCTCCCCCTCCTCCTGCCTCCTCATCATCATCATCATCATCATCATCCCATCATCATCATCATCATCATCATCATCATCATCATCACCATCATCCTAGAGACGGACACTGAGAACGACGAGGACGGCAGAAGGAGCAGAGGACCAGCAGCAGCAGGAAGAGGAAAGCCGCGTGAGAACGACGAGGACGGGAGAAGGAGCAGAGGACCAGCAGCAGCAGGAAGAGGAAAGGCGCATGAGCCCAAGAACAAAGACGAGGGCGACGATGCGGGCGAGGAGGACGAGGCGCACGAGGACAGCATGAGGACCGAAACTGACGCGGGGATGGAGGATGAGGACAACCGAGAAGCAAACGGAGGGAGACAATGAGGATAATGGCAGACAAGCAAACAAGGAAGGAGAAAGGAGGAGAAGAGCAGGAGGAGCACGATGGAAGGAGCCAGGGACGAGAGCGAGGACGAGAAGGCTACGGATTACCAGACCAAGCACAACCACGCATCACTGCAATGAGACACTGTGCCCACGGTACGTTGGGGTGTGTTACGCAGCCTGCTGGCTGTTAAGCAAGGCTTCGATCGCTTTCCTCTGAAGCCCCCCCCACACTGGCGCACATCTCGTCTGCGTGCTTCTGAATGTGTCCACTCTTCCACTCGCCATGCTACAAATACCAAGGAAATCCTGCGCAGTTCCGCTGCCAGCGCTTGACCCGCCCCCCATGAGATCGACTCCAGACGTTTGCAAACCACGGTGTTCTGCTAGGCTCCGAGAGTGCTCCAGGATGGCCCAAGGTGCCCCCAAGAACAGCCAGACTCGCCCACCGCCCGCGATGTCCCCAAGACGACGGACGACCTCCCAAGAAGCCCGCAAGAGGCGCCCGACGAGGCCTTCGGCGAGGACATGGGAGGCAAACAAGCACTGAAGAACCAACAGGGTCTCCGTGTTTTCCCAATTGTCCTCGAGATGTGGGTCCTCGTTTCAAAGAGACAGTCCCCGCGTCTCCTTCCTCCCTCCTCCTCCTCCCTCCTTCTCCTCCTCCTGATCCTCCTTCTCCTCCTCCTCCTCCTCCTCCTCCTCCTCCTCCTCCTCCTCCTCCTCCTCCTCCTCCTCCCCTCCTCCTCACTCCTCTTTCCTCCTCCCTCCTTCCAACCGTGCCTCTGCCCCCCGCATGACATGACCAATCATCACCACCATCATCGTCATCATCACCGTCGTCATCACACCAATTCCGGCACACCCTTCAATCGTTTTGTGGCCTCACAAGGAGCTCCGCCCAAGGCCCCAGTGGGTGTGGCCACACGCGTCCGCCACACTCATCTCGGCACACCCCTCACACGCTTCGCGGTCCCATAGGGAGCTCCCCTTAAGGACCTAGTGGGTGTGGACACATGCGTCCGCCACACCTATCTCATGTCGGTACACCCCTCACACGCTCCGTGACTCAATAGGGAGCTCGACCTGAGGCCCCAGTGATCTTCCTCCTGCCTCCTGCTTCCTCTTCCTCCTCCTCCTCCTCCTCCTTCTCCTCCTCCTCCTCCTCCTCACCCTCCTCCTCCTCCTCCTCCTCCTCCTCCTCCTCCTCCTCCTCCTCCTCGTTCTCCTCCTTCTTGCTTCCGGGGGGGGGTGCGAAGTGCGCTCTTTGGGCGCTGCTAAGTGCGCAACTGTCGTCACCTGTGTAAGCTACTGGGAGGTCCACCAGAGTGGAGTTGCACCCAGATCCGGGCGGGGTCTCGCGGCTCATTGGGGGCTGCGAAGTGCGCAGCCGTCGTCACGTTCGTGGGCCTCCGGCGAAAGCTGCCCGTCTCCTCGGCTTGCCCATCTTCCTGGCCCGCCTCCGCCTGGTGGCCCATCTTCCAGGCCCGCCTCCAGCGCCGCAAACCGCGGGGCGCGGCCGCTGCGGGGCGCGCCCGTGGTGGGAGGACGGCCTCGTGGCCCCTCTTCTGGGCCCGCCTGCGGCGCGAGCCGCCCGCCGCACCGCGGCGGCGTGGCGCCCGCCTCTGGCGCCGCGAGCCGCGCGGCGCGGCCGCCGCAGGGCGCGCCCGAAAGGGGGGAAGGCGACCTTCCTCGCGGGCACGGGCGCGCGCCTGCAGCGCACGTCCGTGCGCGGGGGAAGACGGCCTTCCTCGCGGACACGCACGCCTGCAGGCGCCGCGGAGGGCCGCATGGAAGTTGCCCGTTGCCCTCGCCTCGCAGATGGCCTGCGTGGCGGCGGCGTCTGCGACCGCGCGGCCCGCGGCTGCCGCGCGGGCCGCGGCGGCGCGACCCTTGGCGCGGGCCCCCAGCGCCGGGCGGGGCCACGCAGCCTCCGGGGCAGCACCGTGCAGGGCAGCCAGCGCGTGCTCCAGCGGGGCCGGCTGCAGCGGCGGATGCGCCCGCGGCGCTGGGGCGGCGGCGCGAGGCGTGTCCCGCGGGCGCCGCGCTGCAGCGGAGGCACGCACCGTGGCTCGTGAATCGAGCAGAATGTTCGCTGGCGGCCAGATTGGAACACGCCTGTGAAAACCAGCCAACCTTTACTGATGAATATCTTCGGCATTGCAACAGTCATGGCTCGAACGAAGGAGGAAGTTTCGACCCACAGCTCGGGCTTGTAAACTAGCACTGCTGCATACACTTGCATAGCTGCACGCACTTGCATATGAGATATGCAGCTGCACACGAGCTTGAATCAGATGACATTGGTTTGGACTCTGATTCGCCGAATAAGGCGTCTAATCACATCAAGAAGCATGCGCACATGGCTCGTACTGATGAGCCGCGCGAGGAGCTGCAGGTCGTGCCATGGCGCGAAAAGAACGAGCCCAGATCAACCACTCGCTCATACTCGCAAAAGCCACGAAGCACGACACATCGGCTCAACAGGGGAAAGTGCTCGCCGCGCAGGAGGGGCGGCAATCAAATCCGGCGACCCTGTCGGTGTGTGCGGGGGGTCTGTCCGGTCCCGTCGACGGGGAGCCTTTTTTCGTCCCCTCCTTCCCATCCTCCTCTCCCGTCGGGGGAGAGAGAGTGAGAGAGAGAGAGAGCAACCTGCCTCGTTCGAGGAGAGGGTTCGCAGCTTGAGGGAATTCCATCCACGCCCTCATCACGTCACCCCTTCCCTTTGTCCCTTCCCCGGCGAGAAAGGGGGTCCCAGGGGGGGGGACAGATTCGCCTCCTCCTCCTCCTCCTCCTCCTCCTCTTCTTCTTCTTCTTCCTCCTCCTGCTCCTCCTCCTCCTCGTCTGTAACGTAAAAAAATTAATATTAATTATCATTATTCTTTCCCTCCCCCCCTTCCCCGCCCCCTGCCCTGTTCTCCTCCAACTCCTCCTCCTCCTCCTACCTCCTCCTCCCCCTCCTCCCCCTCCCCCTCCCCCTCCTCCTCCTCCTCCTCCTCTCCTCCTCCTCCTACCTCCTCTCCTCCTCCTCCTCCTCCTCCTCCTCCTCCTCCTCCTCCTCCTCCTCTCCGTCCTACCTCCTCCTCCTCCTCCCTCCTCCTCCCTCCTCCTCCTGCTCCTCCCTCCTCCTTCTCCTCCCTCCTCCTCCTCCTCCTGCCTCCTCGCTCCTCCTCCTCCTCGCTCCTCCTCCTCTCCGCCTCCTCCTCCTCCTCCTCCCCCCCCTCTCCGTGTCTGCACCTGCCTACTCCGCCTCATCTGTGTCGTCTTCCCCCTCCTCCCGAGGCGCTTTCCCTATCATCTCCTTCGCCGAGGTCAACGCCGTCGTCTCCAGGGTCGGCGGCACCGGCCGTAAGGCCTTCCCAATATTACACCAAAGCCTCTATAGGGCCAATGGAAAGACCATGCTGTTTTAAACTTGCTGTCCACATTGGCTGTCCATGCACGATCATATCCGGCCACTGGGCCAGATCACTCGTGGACCGCGTGCACTGGCTCGGCTCGCATCACTGGCCTCGCTGCAGTGGGCAGGCCGCCAGGCCGGCCCCCCGACTGCCCCCTTGCAGGTCGCCAACCCAGAGCCGTCCGACGCAAAGCGCCATGCCGTTTCGCCCTCGACGCCGCGACCTGAGACCTGAGCCAGAATGGTTACGGGATGAGGACGGGCATGAGAAAGAGGAGAAGAGAGTTATGTTGCTCCCATCGTACTTAAAGGACCGCATCCCAGAGATTGGCCAGCCCACCGGGCCAGAGGCGTGCTAAGATCTCCGGCAACTGGTTAACAATATTCTAGTTCGTGCGGCTTCGGGGGGCCCCCAGACGAAAAGTACCCCGACCAGGTCCTGGCAAGGTCGGCTCAGAGATGGTTTTCCTCCTCGGCGTTGCCTTCCAGGCCTCCCAGACCGCTCCAGGAACGCGTCAAGCTCCGAGACGCCCCCAAGACGGTCCAAGGGGCCCCGAGTCGCCGAAATATTGCTCCAAGACGCCCATGATGGTCTCCAGACGGCCCTAGACGCCGCCGAGAAGCTCCAAGAGAGCCTCGAAAAGCCCTTCAAGAGGGCCCCAACAAGCAAAACTCGTCACACTTCCCTGGGGAAGCGTACATTTCTGGCATAGACGACGTTCGGAGTTTCACAGCGTCCAAGACTGCCCAAGAGCCCCCCAAGATCGCCCCAAGATGGCCCAACATGCCCCCAAGATGCGCCCAAGAGGGCCCAAGAGGGCTCCAAGTCCAAGACGACCCAAGAGGGCTCCAAGACGGCCCAAGACGTCCCCAGAGAGGGAACTCGAAATGACATTTGAAGCTTTCCGACCCCAGGGGCACCTCCGAGACCGCCAGCAGGCTCCCAAGAGCCAACCAGAAGTCCCAAGAAGCCCCCGAGAGGCCCAAAATCAAGCCCCCAGGGCACCCAAACGGCACTGACGAGGCCTCAAGAAGCTTCAGAATTGCCTCAAAAGGCTTCCGCGACACCTGCCAGGAGACCCCAACACCGCCGCATCAAATGTCCCCTGCGCCCCATCGACAAGCCCCAGAGTGAGCATCCACGAACAGCAAACCCCCACGAAGGCACCCGAAATTCAAAAAAACACCACACAACTAGCCGCCCCGTGAAAAGCGACCGATTCCCCTGACAACTCCCAAGAAATCCAAACGAATCGCCCCAGCTTCATGCCCCACGCAACGCCTCAGAAAACAGCCGACGCCCCTGCAGCTCAACACCGCCAACGACCGCTCGGCCAGTCCACGCAGCAGTGCAGAAAAAAGGGCCGGCGGAGTGAGCGAAGCGATTGAATAATAATCATGATAAGGATAACTTCGAGCACCCAGAAACATATCGAAACAATCTCGAACGAGTATCGCCTGCCAGGGCCCGACACGTGAAAACCCTCACGTTTCGGTACAATATTGATGCTCGAAATTCTTTCTGGTGGTCGAGGCTAAAGTCGGTTGGGGCATTGTAAGAAAACGGAGAGGAAGAAGGAGGAACAGTAGCAGGAGGAAGGAGCAGCAGCAGCAGGAGCAGACGGAGAAGAAAGAGAGCGCTGCTTGTGCCACGGGCCGCCTTGAACTTGCAGAGCTCGCAGAGGTAGCGTACGGTCCTGATCTTCTCCTCCATTTTGCCTTCATTCTTATCCTCGGGATGGAACGGAGAAAGACTAGGAGGAGGAGGATTAGGAGGAGGAGGATTTGGAGGAGGACCAGTGCAAACCTAAGACTCATCAACGATACTGTATGTAATCAACCCTCCATCCACGTTCCCTAAGCTCCTACACGGATTGATTTCCACTGAATACAATGCCCCGTTGGAAGACAACCGTCTGAAAATCCGGTACTATGCTGGAGCACGATTCCTGGGACTTCGAAGCCACGAATCACCGTTAGATTTGCGTCTTGACGATCCTGAATCGCGCCAGAACACCATTCATGGAATTTCAACACCGCGAATCAACGTGACTGTCGCGCCCTTCCATTCCGACATCGTGCCCGAATACCATTTCTGCGACGTTAACCATGGGCATCCTTGAAATTGCTGGAAACTCTGAACACGAAGGGGCGCGGCGCGAACGCGAGATCCGCATGTTGATAAGGAACCGCCCCCCGTCCGTGGAGTTAACAACTTTTAGCACGATTGGGCGCGGCACGAAGGCGAGAACCACATTCTGAAAACGAACCGCCCTCCATCCTTGAGACGACTGCACATGTTTGAAACGAATGTACGCGGCGCCGAAAACGAACACCACATTTTGAAAACGGGCCACCCTCCATCCGTCAAACGCTTGCAAAAAATGGAAGCGAATGTGCGCGGCGCCTCAGCGATAACCACATGTTAAAAGCGGGCAGCCCTCCCGCCCTTTCGACCAGCTTCAGGGTGCGACAAGGACGCGTTATCTATAAGAAACAGGAATGGAGGGAATGAGGCAGATCGGAAAAGCATTGCCTATCCTCGCTTGGCCTGTTCATATATCACACATCTGTTGGCAAACTAAACTTTGGCTCCGGGATCGCGCTGGAGCTGTCGCTTGCACTACGGACGCGGCACATGGCGAGACGATGAACGGTTCGAAGGAAGCGCGATGTCTAAGGCACGGAAGGCAAGGACGATAATGGAAGTGACAACACTTGCAAGGAGAGGAGCGGAAGGCAAGAAGAAGGGAGGCGGAGGAGAAGAGGGAACGGTAGGGTAGGAGGGATGGTGAAATACCAGATAATAGCAGGGCGTCCTTCATCTGCTGCTCCAGCTCTTGCTGAAGGCCTTGAAGGACGTATGGGGCCACCCCTGTGAGGTACGGTCCTGAAGGGGATGTTGGCAAGTCTGCTCTATATTTAGAAAAACTTCTCCAGGACAACGGATCTTCCTTCCCCATCCTTCTCCTGCTCCCCACGTTTGCCTTCCTCCCCCGCAACTCGCTAAACTAATGCTTAACATTTTCGGTGGTAGACGCGTTTATCTGGGGAAGGAGCGGGGAGGCGCCAGCTGATCAACTGACACTCTCGCTCTGGGCATCTCCACATGCCCCTCTGTGCACCAACGGCCTGCGTGCATTCGCGGCCCCGCGCGCACAAGAAGCACCCCCTTGCGCGCCGCAATCGCAGATGCGTTTCGTGGACGTCACAACCCACCCCGAGGAAAGCTGGACCCTGGTGATAAAACATGAGTTTGACAGCGCCACCGCATGCACCACAGCATGCGGGACCCTGCCAATGGCATAGTAGTCTGCGAGCGCCACGCTACGCCTGCGAGTTCCAACAATGTGCCCGTGCTCCACCACAACACGTGCCGGAGAGCACCACAATGCGCTTGCGACCGCCAGACCCCGAGGAAAGCAGAACATTGCCAGTATCACAATGGTCTGCGAACGCCATATGCATGCAAGCACAAAAATATGCTGGACCCTGCATATCCAACAACTGCCTGCAAGAACCACAGTATGCCTGCGAGCACCGGCAGTGTGCCTGTCAGCATCGCGAGCGCATGCGAACGTCAAAATGTGACCTGGAGCCACACAATGTGCTTGCGACGTCGAATCGGCGAGGGAAGCTGGGCACTGTCAGCACAAGAGCATGCTAACACCACGTGCATGCACAAAGACACGGCCAGACCGCACCAGTACTACAATAGCCTAAGAGGCCCGCAGTATGCACACGAGCACCAATAACAAGCCTTCGACTACGTCCATGACTTGTGAGCGTCACGACATGCCTGCAAGGAAAACTAGACCCTACCAGCACGCGACTGCTGGACCCTGCTAATACCACGATTGCTTGAGAGTGCCGCATCGCGCCTGCGAACGCCAACCAGAGTCCACGAAGCACCAGTGGCATGCAGTCACCACGCCGTGCTTGAGAGCGCCACAGCGCACGTGCGGCCATTAGACGACATGACCAGGAGCAGAAATAGCAGGGGGAGGGGGGAGAAGCAGCGACAGAAGGAGGTGGAGCAACAAAAGAAACTGTTTGCTCGCGAGCGACGCGGTTAGCCGCGCGCCGTCAGAAAAGTCGAAAGAGAAGCGCAGGCCCTGCTGTCGCAAGCGTGACGCGGAAAAGGGCCACAAGGGCGGCGAAAGCTACAAAAGTGGAGACAGAAGCAGACGAAAGCGAAGAGGCGGCCGAGGAAGAGCCGAAAGAAGAGAAGACGAAAGAGAGCAGCAAAAGAAACGTCAAGCATTACAACTCCCTGAGGCTCACAGTTCCGGAACGGGTGGGCCAGGGTGAAGCACATACATTCCTTCTGCAATAATTGAAGGGGCCCTGGGATACACAAATAAATACACACACAAATAACAGGATTCCCAATCTTTTCCCATTGATTCTAGGTTTTTGTCTTCCCCCCACTGCCCATATCTTCCCATATGTTTCTGGGCATCGGCGATTAATTGTGTCTGTGTGTTTTCTCCCCTCCTGAACAATGGCCAGGTCTTGACTCCCGCGGCCTCGTGCGCCGCCCCCCCCCCAAATTCAACGGGCTCGTGCAGAGGACCACGTTCTCTAGAAGTCGAATCTGCGGGAATCGGCAGGCCGGTAGGCCTCCGCCGGAAAAAAATTGGATTCCACATCTGACTCCGAAGCCGAACCGAATCGAATCGAATCGAATCAGCAGAGTCGGACTGAGCCCGGCACCCGTCTTAAGTCGTGCCTGTCCCTCTGCAGGGGGGAATATTCAAGACTAGTAAACAAAATAGTCCGGGGGCTATGTTTCCAATATGTTTGGGCATCTTTTGACAATTTTTGGGGTATCGTCTATCTTTCGCTCAAAATCCCCCTGTAGGGGGACAGGGCCCGACCTAACACCGGTCGTGAACCCCTGGAGGGCTTGGGCGCCATGGCGCCGGCGAGCACCGCCGCGCCGGCGTGACAGCCGCCGCTCGCGCGAGCGCCGCCCCAAACGCGCGCGCGAGCACCTCGGCAGAGCACTCGCGCGGCCGGGCGCGGCGGCACCCGCGAGGCACCCCGGCGCTCCCGAGCACCAAGACGCCTGCGAGCACCGCCGCGCCTGTGAGGGCCAGCCTCCGCGCCTGACCATCGCTCGGACGCCCGTTCCCCGTACATTTTTTTTCCAGCGCACATTTTGGGAGAAGAAGGAGGAAAGCTGAGGGGACGATACGCGACGCCGTAATCCGGTCCACTCCGGCTCGAAATCGGCAGCTGGACCCGTACATCTATTTGAGGGATGAAAAAAAACGACCCTGCCCTGGGTTACAAGTGCGTGGTCTGTGAACGTCCTGGGAGCCCCCAAAGCCTAGAGCCGCCAGGACGCGGCACATCACGCAGGGTTTACCCTGTCAGCCCACAGGAGTTTCAGCGCACAGCGCCTCGTAAACCAGGGTAGGGGCGTTTTTATGCCCTTGATCCATAGTCTTCGTGCGCTTAATTTTCTGCTGGACGATCCAAAACGCTCCTCGATCGTCCTCGCCGAGAAGCAGTGCCCACGTCCGAGCAATGCCAAAGTGAGCACCGCCACGACAAACCCCACTCCTACGACAGGCAGGACGAACAAGGTTGGGTTATCTCGGGGAGCGGGGGGGGGTGGGACGGGCCCGACCCGATAACCTGGGTCATCGCCGAGCCCCCGAAACTCTCCAAAAGCAGTCTCCAGTGCCACAGGAATGCTCCACCATCGTTCACGCGACGTCTTTGAGTAATTTCGCTGGACATTGACGCCGTCGATCGAGCTCATCCCTGCGTTGTCAGCCACACGCTCCACCTCATCATCATGCTTCTGCTCCTCCTGCTCCTGATCCGTCCTCCTCCCTCCTCCCCCTCCTCCCCCTCCCTCTTCTGGCCTGCACTCTCCTTCCCATCCTTTCTTCACCAGACCGGCACGTGCATACCGCGGCACGCCGTGCGACACTGCTTCGTCACCCGGTCGGAGATCGCACCTCTGCCCGCACGAGGTCCTGGCACAGAGACGCCCAAGCCGATGCCTGCCGATTCGGGGACGAACCGCCCGCAGGCAGGTTCGCATATCCCATCCGACCCGACCCGATCAGGCTCAGGTCCGCCCACCCGGCCCAGCGTGCCCTAAAAGGGGCAATCTCCCCTGATCACCAAGCTGCGAACCCATGTGCTGCCCCTGGTGTGCAGCTTCCGACTGTGGGCCTGCTGGTCTACTGGGCAGCGTCCTGAGCAACGGCGGTGCCTTGACGGCACTTTCGTTTCTGTGACTCGACCCGCTCTGAGGGACTCGGTTGCGGTAGCCGCCGAGGGGCAGAGCGGCCGACCTCAGTCTCCACCTCCTCATGCTTCCCACTCTCCGCCTCCCCCTGTCCCAACCCACTACCCTCGATTCGATTGCGTTGCCGCTCGCAAACATGAGGGCGCTCTCAGCAGGTGCAGAGCGAACAGCTTCATCAGTGTCAAGACCGAACACTGCGGCTCATGCTTGGCTTCCCAGTCCCTCTGCCCGCTCCTCCCTCTCCTCCTCTTTAGGCAGGGCAAGCCGTGGCAAAACAAATCGCACCTCAAGTGCGCTTTTTTTTTTTTTGGGGGAAATCACGCAAACTACCGTTTGCTTTGGCTGTTCCTGGCACATTCCTTCCACTTTGGGTGAGATAGGGATGACCTCCCTATGGGAAGGAGGATGCGGAGGAGGAGGAGGAGGAGGGAAGTGGGATAGGAAGGAGGGGAGGATTAGGCGAGGGCGGACGAGTGAGTTGAGGAGGAGGAGGAAGAGGGGGAGGAAGAGGCGGAGGAGGAGGAGAAGGAGGAGGAGGAGGGGGAGGAGGAGGAGCGCCCCATCCTCACGAAGAGTCCTGGTGCCGTATCCTGGCCCTTCAACAGCTCGCGGAGACGGCTGAGGAGGCTGACGAAGGCAAGGTGGAAGAGGAGGAAGAGGAGGGTTGGGAGGAGGAGGAGGAGGAGGAGGAGGAGGCGGAGGAGGAACACAGGAGAGGGGAGGAGAGGGAAGACAACGAGGGGCAAGGCAAGAACCAGGATGACCCAAAATGGCTGTCCAGCTGTCGCGATGAAGCGCGAGTGCGGCGCGAGCAGGTGCAGCTTTGTGCGCTGAACGCTGAACAGCTGGTGCGCAAGAGCCTTCCCCAGCAACGTTGCACTCCCCTCCTCTCTCCTTCACTTTCCTCCCTTCCTCCCTCCCTCCATTCTCATCCTCCTCTTCCCCGCATCTTCCCCCCTACCCCAGCCCATCCCCGCTCCCCGTCGCCTCCCTGGCACCCTTGCGACAAATCGACGTGTCCCAAACAAAACGGGGCGAGAGAGGACCGATTGGAGGCGAGTCTGGTGCAAAACGACCTGGACTCCCGAAGAGAAAGACTGCCAACTCGCCTGAGCTTGGACCTTCAGAGGCCCGTACTGGCCCCAGCATCCGCAGCAAACGCGATGCGGCGCGAAATCAAGGCGAAAGTTGAGATGGTGTGCGCTGATGAAAGCGACGCGATTCACAGCGATGCGGAACGGAGCGAGGTGACTCCGAGCCACGCGGCAGAATCAAGGTGGGGTGACGCACGACCTGCGGCCCGCGTACGTCCCTCCCTCCTCCTCCTCCTCCTCCTC